AGCTGGCTCGTAGCGCCGGCATGGAATACAGCTCGGGGAAGGCATTCCTATACGACCATGTAGTGATGTACAAGACGTTTAGCTTCCAAAATAACTGGAATAATGCTTACCAGACGCCCGAATAGGGTTACGACCTCTTTCTATTATCCATTCACCGTCGTAATACTTTATAAACGTTAACTGTAAACGGTAATTACCTTCAGGCATCAGGTTTATTATCTTTTCGGCTCTTTCTTCGTCCATGATTTCTTCTGTGTCTCCTTCTGTGAATGTCGTGAAGGCGAAGTCGGCGTCCAAACGATCCAATACCTGGGTTCGCAGCTTGCGTACAGTTTTGTTTCGAATGCTTTTGATGGCGTCCATCTATATCTAGGAAATATTTTAATCGTTTGCGACACTAAGAACAAATATCTTAACTTAGTAACGCGGGGCACCAGTAAAAAAAATCGAATTACGCAGGCAATACACATAGGGACCTTACGGGTAATACCCGCGGCCGACCAATGGTGTTTGGCGGGGTTAATACCCGGCTCATACGGTACCCCCTCCGCGGATCCCCCTAACTGCTGCTTTCCGATCAAAATAAGAATTAGAAATGATGAGGAACATTTTTAAATTTTATTTTTGGCAAGTCTTTTAACGTATGCGGCCGTATGCGCTCTTTTACCGGTAGTCCAAGAAATCCTGGTCTCAAAAATGGATTATGCCAGAGCCCTCGTTCTTCGTCGCATGCCAGAAGAAACGCAGGCTCTGGGTACGAGATTGATCAGCAGACAGTCGAGTTGGACCACAGGGAGCCCGGCTGTACATGAACAAATAAATCAACTAAGTACTCTGGGTTGCTTGTGTTTTTTTTAGGGCGTGCTTTACACTAATACGATTTTAACCTGGTCTCAAGTTACTTTTATACGTTTACATTAGAGTGCATCCAGTCAAACTGTTGAATTAGATAAAAGTATCTAACTTGAATAACTATTTAGTTGACGTCACCTAAAATAGTAAAAGCGCGCCAAATAACGATGATGCTAATCCAGGGGGTTGTTTTACCAGAGAATGAGTGAATAGACATTCATTTGTATCATCGTTTCTCCCCCTGATCTCAGTAGCTATTTACTCGTAGTTTCAAATTTAGGTGACGTCACCTAAAATAGTAACTAACTTATCTAATTTAAGTGACGTCAACTATTCAACAGTTTGACTGAATGCACTCTAATCTGCTATCAAGTTATTACTGGTAGCACGATTAGCGCAAATTCGAACACAGGAAACCACAGAGTAATTTATTGATTTATTTGTTTATGTACAGCCGGGCTCCCTGTGGTCGGACGCGGGAAAGCCCGACGGCACGTCAATCATGAAATAAGAAATGAAATATTATGTAAATGTCAAATGATTACATAGCAATCATGTTTGCCTCCACTGCTGTCTGCTTCACTCCAAATTCACATTTCAAAAGCTGTGATATATTCAGCCAATTAAAATTTTAGAAAACATTACGGTCACGGCACGGTGCGATTACGACAACAACTCTTCAATAATTTGAACACGGCAAATATTTTGCCGGGGACCGGGGGAAAGTGCTTAATCTGACCTACATGAATGCTAAATTCACCTTTTCGGCGCTAGCTTGGATTGTGTTACGGTCACCAAAACGTTCGGACATCGTTCTCGGATTTCCATACAATTTCATTCACTGACTTTAAAGAGAAAATTTAGGTAGATTTCTTTAGTTAGCTATCTTAACAGCAGTAAGAAAAGCTTCAATCAAGCTAGAAAAATGATTATTTACTTGTATTTAGAGAACTAACGAAACTTAACCAAGTAAATAGTTCATTTAAAGTCAGTACATTTGTACGGAAATTCGAGAACAATGTCCGAACTTGTTGGTGACCGTAACACAATCTAAAACAATTTATACCCCGTGACGGCTAACGCCAAAAAGGTGAATTCCTCGCCCTGTCCGGGGGGTCTGGGGGTGGGATCGGGTTTCAGTTGACTAGTGCATTACAAATTTAGCCCAGTCCCACAAGGAACACAAGCTTAATTCTCATGTGAATATATCTTTACAGCAAATGAATTTATCTAATAAATTATACCCTTTTTATAGATGTTTAAAAACCTCAAGAAGTTTTCAGTAATACTTTTAGGGTGGCTATGAACTTTGCTAATAAAGCACCAATTGGGTTTTAGCCTTTTAGCCAGCTCAGGGATTTTGCAAAATCCTCAAAACTAAGATGTAACATCTTCTTGGGTCAAAGTGGTTTTGTCCTGTTCCTGCAAATGGCCGTCCTAAACCAAGTACGACCAAAGTAGGGTTGTCTGGTAGGTCCTCGGGTATATGTTCAGCATCGATAGCAGTGAATCGGGGTTCATATCCTCCAGAGATCTTTACACGCCTTTTTCTATATTCAAAGGGATCTCTTATCATTTCAAGATCACTACCCATGCAGCCGAGAACTCCCACTGAAGGGCAGTCGGTACCTTCATCTACATACTTATTTTCTTTTATTCCAGGACCAAAAATTTCTTCAACCGATGATTTTGAGAGCTTTTTCAGACGTTGAAAGATGTCTGGACTTGCGGTTTCATTTGACTCTCTTTTTATTGCTTGATTATCTACCAGCAAATCTTCATTGTTGTGCGGAAGAGGCGTTAACCTCTTCGGACCATCTCTAGGAGAACTGAGTATCCTAAACACATACGTTTTGTCAATTTGTAAAGGTGTGTCCCAACAGCAAGAGCCATCTATTGGCCGGTAGAAGGGACGGAGGATTCTTCCACTTTGAGAATCAAAACCCAAATGACAGTAACCCTTCTTCATTCTTGTTTGGACGATAATATTCAAATTTATAAATTGCTCTTCTTCTTGTGTCTTTTGCACATCCTCGATATCAGGCAAATAATCAAATTCAGGCTCTAAGGATGATTCTTCTATAAATTCGTCTAGATGATAACCAACGACGTCTGTACCAGCAGGAAAAACTTGGAGGATACGAATATCCGAGAAGTTGTCAATCCACAGTTCAAAATCTTCATATGAATGATAATTCCACAACGGGGTGCCATTCACCTCAATGATGACATCTATTGACGCCTGGCACGTTTTGCATTTACTTTCAACCTTCATTGAAGCAGAATATTTGTCAAGGGGTATAAATCCAATTGGCGCATATATTTCTCTTAATCTTTTGCTTAGCTCTTCCGTGTATTTATACTCCTCTTCGATGTCCTGTATAGATACATCTTGAGTATGTCCATATTTGCATTGGTACTGCTGTGTTGGACTCAAATTTGCTTCCATTTTAAGTCATCTATCTGAAGAAAAGCCAAAGTAAAATTTTATGTATTCGTTTTGACCCAAAGATGTCTTTTGCACTAATGATGCAAACATGTAAACTTTCTTTCTTATCCAAATTTGTATTGCACCATGAGAAGGGTAAAATTGGTGCTAATAAACTGAACAAAAGAAAAAGCAGGGATTCTGATAGTGGCAGTAAACGACGCTATATCCTAAGTATTAACTTAAGTACGTTTCCCATGTTGAGATAATAAAATGGTGCGTTCTCTCGATGGCTTATTTTGATGTCTGAGTTCCCGTGGATTTCCAGGCGAGAATGTCTGATTTATATTGAGAAAAATATCGTTAAAATAATGATTACCAGTTACTTCATATTCTGTTCTGGGTAGAAAGATCTGCAGACGGCTGTATAACGGACGGATTTGCACATTTTCGCGCTCTTTTTGTGACAGGCTAGTAACGTTCTTCTTGGCATGAATGTAAATCATCATTGTGATTGACTCCTGAACTGGTTCCAAGACAAAAATAGAGAGGCGAAAGGTTATCAAATAGACTTCAAGGACTGTCTTTGAGTGAGATCATTTCCAGACCTATTCAGAACTAAATATTCAGTATATTAAAACAATTAGGGAATACCAGAGTTATCTATGAACTCTGGAAATACCTTGGACTCCAGAGCAAATCATATTTTATAAYTTATTGAAACAAATTTTAATTTGTAGTTTTTAATTTCATTCAGTTAGAATGAAAAAATTCGAACTGAATGAAAGTGAAAATAAAAGTTAGAAAATATCGTACTCAAAACTCTACTATCAACGGAAACAACTTTGCATAGAGGGCTAGTAACCCTGCTGAAAGCCCGCTGAAAGCCATAAATATAATAACCAAAGCCGGTTGGTCTTGAAAACTCACGCACATCTTACTAAATTCACTTTTGACTTACATTTGTCTAATGTTCTTGACAGAGTTGCTTCCTCAGTTTTGCGTCGGGTCTTTTCGTACAGCGTTTCTTTCCTTGCGGCATTCACACGCCATAACTATCTTACTCTCTGTGTTTTCTATTATTTTTCCTCATTTCGTGTTGCCTGAATTACGTTATTTAATCCCTTGGCGCGGAGATTCAAGTTCGCTCTTTTGCGTTGTTTGTGAAGACCTTGGTCTCCCCCGCATCTGTTTTTAGTTTCGTCACGCAGCGCTTGATATCGCTCCTCTTTTGCAAACCAGGATATCGTAGAACTGTCATTAAGTGAAGTGGGGTTGTAGGAGGAGGGGGGGGGAGGGG